GGCGTCGAGTGAGTTGAGGCACGTCAGCCAGCGCGGAACACCAGGGGGCGTCGATGAAAGACCAAAGGGTCGCGTCTCTCCGAGCATGTGCAGAATGCGGTCGCAAGTTTGCCGAGGTGTGCGAGCCACGACGGCAGATGGGTTATGAGCTTTGACATGGGGCCCTGCAGATCTGGCATTTCGGCCCCGCTCAACCACCCAGTTTTAGACAGTGGTCTTGCTATTTTCTCAGGCAGGAAGCGCTGTTACCCTCCACCATGTAAGTGTGTCCTGCTTTCAAGAGCCCCCACCCTGCACGCCTCCTAACAGCTCTTCAACTACAGTGCCTTTCGTCTTGGACCAGTCACGCCTCTCAGGTTGTTGTGAGGAGCAGGGAAGGTCATGTAAGCCCCTTTGGGTTTCTTGGATATAAATGGAATACCAAATACATATATAAAAGAGATGGCTTAAGGATTCAAGGTACTATGTCTGGCAGGTGCCAGCCTGCCTGCCTCCATCTGTGGCCACTGTCCTGCCTTGGAGGAGATGGCTGGTTGCTGTGTCTGTGGCTTAGGCTCTTCTCTGTGCTGAGAAGCCTGGAGGGCACTTGGAAGACAAATGTATGGTCTTGCCTGATAAGGGGGATACTGGCCACCTCTGCAGTTCTGCCTTTGAACATTTGATTGCATTTGTGCGTTTGTGTATTTGATTGCATTTGATTTACAACCTAGTGCAGGGATGAGGAACCAATTTCAGCCTGGGAGCCAAAATCAGTTCTCCAACTCTACCCTACAGTGGTGGGTAGGACCAAAGGCAAAGTACCTCTCAAGCTTTCAGAATGGGGAAAACTGCACAAAAGGCAAAAAACCCACAAAATGATCTGGGGCTAGGGGAAAAGTTTTGTGAATATCTGGGGATCCCCCAGAAGGTCCAACTGGAGCCCCAGGGCTTAGGTTCCCCAAAATGAATGCACTTGTGTGCTCTTTTGTGAATCCTTTAGGCATTCACATCAGCGCACACAAGTGTATTTCAGCAGAGCCACATCTCCATGTAAGACTGCGTTATGACAGCAAGCATTCTGGTTTTTAAAAAATAGATTAGTAATTGGCTAAAGAAAAAGAAGGAAAATGTAAGTGGTTTTTACAAGGCTGGGGGCGTGGGCAGTGAATGAGGTGTATCAGGAGGGGATTGTTACTGGTTGGTTAGTTCATCAGTGCTCTGAAGCCAGGGCTGAGGAATGAGTTAGCCAAGCTTGTGGATGATGCCAAATTATTAAGGGCAGTGAAAACAAACCACCCAGAGAAGAGCTCCAAGATGATCTCTCCAAACAGGCAACAAAATGACAAGTGTGATTTGGTGTATCTCAGTGTAAGGTAATGATGCACCCTGGGGCAAAAAAACTGTCTACCTTCACATTAGGGGGGAAACGTGTGATCCTAGTGGATCGCTTAATGAAAACACCAATATGTGGAATTGGTGAAACACAGGAGGATAATAAATTACTTTATGTTGAACATTAGTCCATCTGTTCTCTAGAGATTCAAACAGTGTGGGAACTTTGGATAAATTCAAATGTTGTTTATGTATTTATTATTAAACACTCCATACCCTTTTCTAGACATTGTATAAAACAATGACAAAACAAAGAGGCAAATAAATTCACAATAAAACCAACAATATAAAACAAAAAAGTAAGCAATACAACTTAAAAATAGAGAAAGAATGCAGGCATAAAACTTAATAAAGCAGGAGCTAAAATAATAAATCACTGAAAACACTAAAAGAGTTTTAAAGCCTGGGAGAACAAAACAGTCTTAACCTGGTACCAAAAAGATAGCAGATGGGTACCATGTAAGCTTCCTGGCTTGTGGAAGAGGTGGTGATCTTGCATCAAAAAAGCCTCCTCTTTTGTTGCCGCCCTCTGAGATGCTTTTCAGTAGATCTACCTCATTAGAGCATCCTTAACACTGGTCTCTCTAATGCCCTTTGGGGAAACACAGACCAGTTACAGTGCACCCTTACGAAGGACAGACCCGAGTTTCCCCCGGATGTGCCCATACATGACTTTAGGAAGGAGGTGGCTCTGTGATGCTGAAAGCCAAGACTCTGGCAGCACCAGTTTGCGTTCCTGTAAAATGTGATAAACAGGGAAGTTGTTTTTTCCTTGGGGCTCCATTTTGCCTGCTCTGGGCATGGAGACCTTTTTCTGCAGAATAAAGCTTTTTCACCTCAAATCCCTGGAATGCTTGATGGCTATTGTGCATGCCAAGACTGAAACACACTTTTGTGGACAACAATTTTGGCACTCAACATGGGTCTGACTTGTCTTGGTTACATAGGGTGGTGGTCCTGGAGTAACCAGTAACACCCTTCTGGCTGGCATGAGACCTGTTTGTCTTAAGAGGGGAAAGTCCTCGGCTATGAGGGGACTAAGTGCGATACCATTTTGAGTGTGAGGCCGGGGTTTGGGGGACCAGCCATTGACTTGGTGAGTATCTCTTCTCCTGTCAGGTTTTCTGTTTAATTTGCTTCTGGGATCCACAAGATGGACTTGGCCATAAGGCTTGGCCAACCATGAGGCGCTAGATGCAGGTTACACTCTGAGCAGCGATGGGCTCTGGACCAAGCAAAAATACAAAGGGGACTGCCGGGGACTGCCACAGGGGCTCTGCCAAAGCAAGTGCCCCAGGTCTGGATTGGCTGCTGCTGGGCTGGAGAAAGATCAGTGTGCTACTGTAAGAGGAAGGAAGGAAGAGGGTCCCAGGAAAAGAACGGGGACCCGGTTGGAGCAGGCACCCCAGATGGTGGTAGGGGAAGAGAGTGAAGCAGAGAGTGACTGATGGGGAGCAGGGGATGAGGTGATGTCCCCCCCTTGAACCCCTTTGTGAAGCATGGGGGAAGTGAAGTTTTGATGGACTCAGGTGACATATGTTTTGTGCTGACAAATTAAATTAGGCAAAAGAATGGAGGGAGGCTAAAAGTAGTTGGAGAAGGAGGAAAGACGCAGGTCAGATACCTGGGATCCATTGTCACCTAAGGTAAGACAGAGATTCTGCCAGGCCACTGGGGGGGCCATTAGTTGCTTGGCCATCTCAGCTACTAGGAAGCAGCTTCTGGGCATGGCTGGTTTTTGCAGGCTCTGGATCCCACAGCTTGGGGAACTGCAAAGCCCCTACATGAAGCAGTTGAAGAGAAGGACTCTGATCACTTTGAGGGACTGGAGACTGACTCCAAGTTTCATCACCTTGAAGAGAACCTTGACGCAAGCACCAGCTTTAGGCCTTCCAGACATGAACAAGCATCATCACTTCTATCGCATGAATGGAAAGGTGTGCATCAGGAGTTTTGACTTACCATAACCAGGGCGTTTTTTGATGAATTTTTCCATGTGATTGTGAATTGCCCTGTCCGGCGTAGCAGGTTGGCAGCAAAAAGCATTAAAATAGTGCCTGTGGGCTGCGTGTGTATCTGCGCTGCTTGTGAGGGCGCTACTCGGCTCGGAACGCTGCTTTTCCCCTACTTCTCCTTCTGGGTCAGCCTTCCAGCCCGCAGAAGCGCGCTCCGCTGAAACCAGAAGACGATAGAGAGGAAGAAGGATGCTGGAAGGCGAGCGCTGCAGGATCCAGGACGCGCCCGGGCATGGCGAGCATGTGCAAGCAGGGGCACCCAAAGGTGGGTGAGGGACACCTGGCGGGGAGCTGCAAGAGATGCCAGAGGGGGTGGGGTCATGGAAAGGAGCATTTCCCCCTGCCTTGGGAATTTGGTTGCTCTACTGCCTCTGCTGGGACCAAAACCA